TTAATGCGCTATTCTTAGTAGTAACTTAAGGGTTGGTCTTTGGGTTGCTAAGGGTAGTAGGGTTTAGAATTAGGGTTTGTCTTAACATGAGCTAATATGAATGGGAAAATAGGGAAGAACCGTTGGTGGATCTCTTCTTCAGCCTAACCCTGAGTTTAATTAGCAGTTTAATTTCAGAATTAAGGCATAATTAATTAGTTAGTCATATTTGTTCAGTTTATTTTCTATTAAAACTATAAGTATTTTCAAAATGGTTTATGTTAAATATTATTGTCTATGTTCTATAAAGTTTAAATGTGTGTTTGTTTGTGTGTTTGTTTTCTCCCTGAGTGTTACTTCTGAGTTCGAGCTGCTGTTGTGGTTCCATCTCTTATTTGTTATTCTTTATCTTTATTTTATTTGTCTGTTTTTTATCTTTTTAGAATTATAATCCAAATCCCCCCATATCTTTAGTTTTAGTTTTTAGATTTTAGTTAGTTTTTATTCAATAAAAGTGACAAAGTAATCTGATTTTCATAGCCTAAAAAGTATTTTTCCTCGTGGGATCGACCCTTACTTGCCCTATCTATATGTTTTAATCAATATTAATTCATAAAGAGGGATTCGAGTTAAGGAAAATAATAAATTAATTTGTAGGTGCTACGACACGCCTAACAAGTATTTCGTAAGTTAGTACTTCTTCGGTTCTAAATTAAACTTTTCATATTTTTTTAGAAATAAAAAATTGTTTGGTTCAAATTTATAAAGAGAAGAGAGAATTAAAATGTTTAGTTGAGATTTATAAAATTAAACAATAAAAATTATATATTTAAAAGCTACATTATCATTATTATTACAAAACATGCGTGAAATTATTTATTCCTTTACTAAATTATCAATAAAAATATACCTTTGTATTAAAAAACAAAATATGTTTTGCTAGTGTAAATACGGGGTAATTAGCATGAGTGCCCCCCGTGGTTTATAAAATGAGCGCGAAAACACCCTTTACTTTCAAAATATTTATAAAACACCTAAGGTTTTTAAATAGTGCACAGACACCCCTCTTGCCGAATTTAAGACATGAAATAATATTTTTGCCCTTAGTTTTTCTCTATCTTTAAATTTCACTCTTTTATTTGTATTTTTTTAATACAAATACATAAAATAAAATATACGCCATCTTTCTCAAATTAAAATTTTTCATTCATTTAATTTTCAATAAAAAAATTTTTTTAGAAAATGTTACAAAAAATGAAAAATTCAAAATGAAATAAAATACACTTTTTCATTTTAAGTGTAAGTAAAATAAAAAATTAGATAACATATACTCACTCTATCTCTAATTAAAAATTCTAACTTATTCGTTTTTTAAGAGTAACATAATTTTTAAGGACTATAAAATATGAAGAATAAAAAGATGAAATAAAATATGGAGTTAAAGAAAAAGACTGTTTTCTGTATTTTTATTTCTTTTCCTTACCTTTTTCAATTATTATTTTTTTACTTTGTACATAATATTTTTTTTCATTTTCTTTTGTAAGATTTTCCAAAAAATCCTTTTTTTCAAAAGTGCATTATGAAACATTCTAATTTAAGACGGGAAGCTTAAATTTTATTTTACTCCAAAAGTGGGTATGAATTACTCCATCTGTCCACTATAGATTTTCTCAGACACTATTCACATAGTCAAACTTTACTCACTTTGTTTGCTCATTTTTACTAGTCATTTAGTAAAATAATATAGTCTTGTCACATCTATTTTTGTAGAACTTTTCATGTAGTTTATTACTATATAATTTTATTTTAAAATTTTACTCCTAGAATCAATTAAATTGAATTGAAAATAAAGTCGGTCAAGCCTCGTAACGCGTAACGGGAAGAACTTAGGTGGCCGGAGGGAGTATTATTAAATTAAAAAATTATGTTGATAAAGTCAAAAGGCAAGAAATATGGTAGCCACCGAAATGGCACCATAATTAGAGATAATGATTGTGCTACACTGCTACAGGATTAGTTCAGAGAAAAGATGGGTTGACGTACAACAAAAAAGAAATCAGATTCGGCTTCTTGTTTATGCAAAGCGATCAACTTTTGACATTTTGATAACTAAGCAGAGATTTAGGGATAAATAAAATAAAAAAGGATGTAATTGATAATAATCTTAATTTTTGTTACCTGGGGGAAGCACCGATGAGGACAAGCTTGGAGAAGAGATCGGGGCGGCGTATGGCGGCGAGGATTCCGATCATGGCGGATACAGAGTGGCCTACGTAGTCGCAGCGCTGGATTTTAAGATGAGTACTGAGAATGTTGATGAGGTCGTCGGCATAGGCGTCGAGTGTTGTGTAGCGACAGAAGTCGAAATAGTCGGGGTTGACGCTGCCGGCGCAGGCGAGGTCGAAGAGGACGACGCGGTAGTCCCGGACGAAATGAGGGTAAATGCCCCCGCCATGCGGACTGGTCGGTGCCCGACCCGTGGGCTAGCACCAGGGTTTTCTCGCCGTTGCCCACCACTCGAACGTTGAGGGCTTCCAATACATTTGAGTGATGATATGCATCAATATTTTGATGGTTCACATTGACACAAAGTATTGGTGCGTTACTAAAAAATTACACTGACACAAAGTGTTGGTGTGTCAATAAAAATTTATACTGACACAAAGTGTTGGTACGTTAACAAAAATTAGCATTACACCAATACAAAATGTTGGTGCATCCTTGCGGTGTACAAAATAGGGTACAAATTCTTGGGGTACAAATAACTTTATCCTAAATATAAGTGAGATAACTCTTACTCTTTCTCATTGATGGTGTAAATACCATGCAAATATTAAGTATAAATGAGCGGAAGGGCTGTAGGTGAAAACACATGTAACCCGATTTGTTATTAATAATAGTAGGACTCTTTACAAGTTGTAAACCATGTGGATTAATTAAAACATGCCCCACAAATGAGGCTTTTAGTCCTATTTATAATAATCACTAAGCACGTCAAGCACGTCTCTGCTCCTCTGGTCGGTCAGCTTCAGTGCCTTCGTAAGGTGAAGCCATGTGTGTGATTCTGAATCTTCTCACCCCTGATCGGTCAGATTGCCTGGGTCAACCGGGTCATAGGGCGTTGGATTTGATACCTCTCGGTCAGTACGAACCTACCGGGTGGTATCCATGGGTTATTACCCATCAAGGAGTCATCCAATTCCCGGCTCTATGGTACCACCAGGGGCGGTAAGCATATGCGAGCTTCTTTTCAAATTTCACTTCCCCGAGTGGTTTTGGCGGGAAAATGTCATTTGTAAACCGGTGCCAAAAAAATATATTTGATTTTTTGAATTTCGAAATTTCGGGCGTCAAACGCGGGGAAATCTTTATTGGAATCTGGTACGGCGCCGCCGATTTGTCGCGTCGTTTCGCCTTCCCGAGAAGTTATCATTACGAATCATTTCGGCTGCCACGTGTCACTCCCCCGTTGGCCCGGCTGGGCGGCACCTCCCATATACAAAGCGAGGTTCCCCACCGAATTTTCTCACTTGCAATTTGCTATCCAAAAAATTGCTCGGTTGCTACCTCTGTCTCTCGAGTCCTCCGAGTCTTCTAGTCTCAAGTAAGACTTCTTTCTCCCTCCTCAGTTCTTTGAGTCATGTTTGACCACGAGGATAGCCAGAACCCTTCTATTCATTCCTACGGTTCTGGTGCCCGGTCTGTAACACCCCAACTCGAATAACCCAATTACATAGATTATTTGAGCCGAAGTAGTTACCATGATCGTAAATACGCATAATAATTTGAGGAATAATTTAAAACCAATTTAAACTTTAATATAAATGATAATTTCAAATATTAAATTCAGAGTATTGCTGAAACAATGCGGAAGCTTAAATATAAAACATAATCAAATTGTTTTACATTTTTCTGGGTTCTCGCCCGAAAAGGTATTTATTTAATTAAAACATCATAAATGTGGTCCACCAGTCCGTACATCTCGTCACTCTCATTGACCTCCGGGATGGGCTCCATGATCAGTATTGTTACCTGTGTGTAGCAAGTAAAACAAACTACACGCTCAACGTCAGCTGAGGAATACGCTAATACAACAATTCGAAGTTGAATAGCAAGTAGACATATAATTATCATGATATGACATAATATAGCATGTATGCTCAAATGATGATTGTGATACGTAATAAATGTCATACATAGTCATAATGATTGCATTTGCTTGATGATGAATTCATGCTGTATGATTCTAGGTCACAAGGACAAGCCTTGAACTATGAGATTCGCCCATTTTGTACGACGAACTCACGCAAAAATAGGGGTGGTACTCGAAAGCCTAAGTACCATGTACGTACACTAAGCCCGGTCCGTGATGTCGGACTGCTAAGTCCTGCACAATCACAACTACAAGAGACGCACTTCCGCCTGATCTCTTGCGCATGCACATGATGTGATATGTTTCAATATGGATGATGAAATGAATCACATGATATGAACAATTTGTAAACAACATGATTGGATAAATATACTTTATTTTATTTGGATGAAATCTGATAAAAATATCATTTAATTAAGCTACGGGACTCGGAACGGTCAACCGTTTGGCGCGAATCTTTTTTTTTATTTTTTTTATTTTTTTTTATTTTTTTTGACATCTAAAATACTTCTTTGAGTTATTTTAACACTTATGATTAACATATCTATGTATTTGAAATATTCTTAACATTTACATTTTCATTTAAGGTGAAGTATCAAGAAAAACATATTTTTACTTTATGAGTCTAATGAGTTTGATCTTAAAGCACAAATGACTTATAATATGACAATCAATCCTATCGATATATC